AAAAAAAGAGAGAAGATTTTATCGGAAGATTCAGAGGAAAGAGGATAGAGCAAAGGTGACGGCAATAGACCTACTGAAAGCAAGCAGTCTGATAAAACAAAGGCGACCGCCGAGCATACATTTGATCAGGAGTTCACTTTTTGATGAATCTTTTGCAGTCACTGGCTGGCTGCATAGTAAACTCTTCCATTCGGACAACTCCAGGCACCGATGGAGTGGTGTTTCCGACCCACACCATTTGCCGCCGAGCATATCTTTGATCATGACTTGCCTTTTGGCTGATGAATCTTTTGCAGTCAGCCAGTCAGCCAGAATATCTTCCATTCGGACAACTCTACGCACCGGTGGAAGATGCCTTTCCAGATGAACAGATGAACTCCTAGCTAGCTAGCTAGCTGCCGTTCCAGATGAACAGGTCATTGGTATCTTGCTCCAGCTCTTTTCCTCTCCTATTTAAGCTGTCGTAGAATCCTTGTGGAATTGGTATGTTTTGTTTGGTATCTTTCAAGAGTCAGTCATTGGGATCTTATCCAAAACCAAGAAGTCCTTGCTTTTTCGCATCACGCGTCCTCTCACAATCTCGTTATTCGAGCAACCTTTTTCACCCTATAGAACTTTCGAAAAGGTAAGATGGCGGTTCTTGTACCGTACCCGAGCGCCACACGCACATGTTCGTATGAACCGACGTTGCACTAATCGTGTACTCTCTCTTCTAGCGCAGCCAGCCAGCCTGCCACAGACGTAAACATGAAGCTTTTTTTGCCCATTGCTATTGCCTTGGCTTACTTGCCGGCTGCAGTCCTAGCTGCTGGCACCGGCAAGACTGTGTTATACAAAAACGATTTCGAGCACCCAATTTCGGGTCATGTCCCCGTTCAGACCACCGATGGATGCACCTGGGTGGGCACCGCTCACCCCTATATAAATCCTGTCTATGGAGGTCAAGGAGGACCGGATTATTCACAGACGACTCATGGTACTGGTGAATTCAAGCAAGTCAACACAGTTGAGGTCAACACGATCTCCGGCGGCCAGCCTTTTAAGGGTACGGACAATTCACTCCTGGGGACCTACTATGAGACTCCTCCTGGAACGGGCGGCAAGTATTCGATTGGAGCGGCAAACTATGATGAACTGACTTTGGTACGTACATTGCAGCGGTAGTGCCAACACTCTTCCCTAACTAACGATTGTTGCTGTATGTCACGTGCTGCATCTCTTGAAAAGGATTTTAATGGCATTGTCGGCCAAGAGTTCTTCACTATCGAGATGGATATGGCCCAGATGATCACGTCTCCGAAGTGCGAGAACAATGCGAATACGAATCGCACGATTGATGTTCCCACCATGACTCTCACGTTGCTTCAAGATGATGATCGCAATGGATGTACCGGATCTTGCAATACCGCTGCAACCATCAACCAGGGCTGGGAGCGGGTGGACTCGAAAATTGTAACGGGTACAGCCCTTCGACATCGTGGGAGTTCAAATGGACTAGAGTTCAAGCAACCTTCGATACCAAGGGACACACGAATTTGAGAATTCATTTCAAAGGAAGCCGCTACTACACCTTGATTGACAACATCGAGATCTACGTGACGACTACTTCTCCGCCAACGAAAGCGCCCACACCCGCCCCTACTTCTCCACCATCGAAAGCGCCCACACCTGCTAATGTGCCAGCGAAGACAGCGTCTAGCAATGGTGATCCACATTTCAAGACTTGGACGTAAGAAACCCTGGCTGCTTGATTGCCATGCCTTGCACCCACACTCACATTTGATTGTCAACTTGCTTCTACCAAAGTGGTGAGAAGTTTGACTTCCACGGCCAATGCGACCTTGTATTACTCTCCGACCCTTTCTTTGCCAACGAATTGGGCCTCACTATTCATATTCGCACCAAGATCACTGATTGGTGGTCCTATATTGAGAGCGCTGTCATCCAGCTAGGAGACCAATCGCTGGAACTGACCGGGGGCTCCAATGGAGACGATCCTGTGTATTGGGTGAATGGTGTGCCTGGTACTTCAACCGCTGTAGAAGCTCTCGAGACGAAATTGGCATCCATCATTCCCGGTTTCAAGGTTCACTACAAGCACATCAGTGCCGTTCAACACAAGTTTCGAATTGATCTAAACCTTCAGGGGGATGCCCTCAGTTTGGAAACATACAAAGATTGGATTGCCGTCAACGTGAAGGCCAATAAGGAAGAGCACTTTTCTGGCACTCTGGGTTTGATGGGTGCCTTCCCATCTGGAAGAAAGGTCGCTCGCGATGGAACGACGGTGATTGAAGATCCCATTGAATTTGGAAAACATTGGCAGGCAAGTAGTAATATTGTTTGAAAAGTCGACTTGACAAAAAACTCCGCGAAGCTGTTTCTCTAACACGATGGCTGCTCGTTCCAACAGGTTCAACTGAATGAACCCATGTTGTTCCATTCCGAATTGGGCACCGTCCAGGCGCCTGAAGAATGCGCCATGCCCTCCGAGAGCACCATGAAATCTCGCAAGCGCCGACTTGGAGAATCCAAAATGACCATGGAAGCTGCCAAACTTGCCTGTGGCAGGGTTGATCCCAGCAACCTAGACTCTTGTGTCTTTGATGTCTTGGCAACCCAGGATAAGGGCGTAGCTGGTGCCTATTGAGCTTAGATTGAATGAAGAAGACGAAGAAAGAAGCACGAAAACCCTTAGCAAATCGTGTGGCGGAAAATTAGGATACATGGAAGAAGAAGAAGCATGAAGCATTTTCATCATATTATTGTCGCCGACTTTGGGGCATGTTCGCTTCAGCGACCAGACCCCTTAGCAAATCAGTGTGGCGGAACTTAGGATACATGGATACAAGGAGTAGCAAACTAAAAGAGATCATTTACTCGCAGGAGTACTTGCACATTCGAAACATAGTACTAGTAGTGCAAGCTGTAGGACTGGCTGCTCCACGAGTCGAGTCGGCCTCACGGCAGCTATGCATACATGTACCAATCCGCGAAGGTCAAAAGACGAAAGCTGATGACTAGCTATATACACCCATTGCAGAATGACAAGAGCAACCGTGCACGAACACACATACGATGGTTCCTGCCGATGCCAGCTCAAACTACGGAGAAGCTTGGTTGTCGCACGAAAGGCTCCCAAAGAGTAATACAAGCAAAAGCAAACGAACGGCAGGATGTACATAGATGAGGATTGATTTAGGTTTGTTTGTGTCTCTCGTCGTGCATTCTATCAATCCGCCAAGCTCCAGCCAAATTGTATCTTTCTCTTGTTTCTTGCAGTCAGCTGCTCGTAGTGTTGGCCAATTCATAAGTGTCCAGATACTTTTATTTCCGGCTAGTTAGTTTCATCGCGAGATGAACTTCCTTCACAGATTGTCTTGCCGTGCATTAATTGTTGTTTCTATTCATTCGGATGGCTGAAATCCTCACGAAACAAACTCTATTTCGGGAGTGGTTTTTGGTCATCAGGGAGGTTCTCGATGAGCGCTTCCCTGACCTTGGCCGAGAGCTCGGCTTCAGTAATGTCTTTGGATTCTACGGGTTCACCGACGACGACCGACGTGCTCTTTCCGGTAGGTTTGTAGGGGAACATCCAATGCACGGGATGCGCCTTTTGAGCTCCGACAATGGCCATGGGAATGACGGGGACACCAGCCTTGTGTGCCATTTTGAAGGCACCATCCTTGAATTTCATGAGACGACCGGTTCGCGATCGAGTTCCTTCGGCAAACGTACACAGGTTGACGCCTTCCTTGAGGTATTTAATGCCCTTTTTGAGTGTGGCCAATTGCGATCGACGATTGGTTCGATCGACTTCAATGTTGCCTGCCACACGAATGGCGGACCCCAAGATGGGGACCTTTTCCAGTTCCTTCTTGGCGACGATTTTGTAGTTTCGCCATCCCACAGCAGCACCCAAAAAGGGAATATCATCCCAGGAACAGTGATTCGCCACAAACATGCAGCAGTCTTCCCTATCGTATCGTAGTAGTAGTTGGTTGTGTCGGTGTGGTGTCCAATGTTTCGTTTTTATTTGCATCGAGAGTGGTGAGTGAAAAAAATGACGAGCCGACGAATGATATTCCGAGAGAACGCTTTACGTACTTTTTGAAGTAATCCTTCAAGATTTCTCGGTTAATCATTTTTGGGTAGCACCCCGTCAGTCTCATGAGTGTTGTACCCCACACATGAGAGAGAAAAACAGGCAGTCTCCTCTGTTGTGCAAAGAGGTCGAGGAAACAGAACACAATCAGCGGAATTAGATAAGCAGGCGGCAGCAGGGGGTAACATAAGATTCTCCTCCAGAAAGTCACTTGACGTACCTGTTTGTCAATTTTGCCTCGCGTAACAAAGTACAGGAACTTGCAAAACATTAGGGCAAAGAACCATGGGATCCCCAGAGAGATGGAAACTAGACCATAGTAGATGGCAAATGGATTCAGGGCTCCGTACTTGGTGTCGAACGCAAATCTTCCACCCTCTTGCTTGACGAGCTCTTTTCTTGCCAGCTTCTTTTGTTCGGCTTTGGAGATAATATCCGACTCATCTCCTGCGGTGGTAGATATAGCCAGTGTACTGGAGGAAGTCAAGGGAGATGCCGCTTTTCTTCTGCTTCCGAACAAGGCAGAAGAAGCGGCGGGAGAGGATGTAAAGCCATTCACAGCTACGGCAGAGAGCTGCAGCAGTGCAACGAGAGAAACGATTCTCATGGTTTAGTACTATTCGGATCAAACGAGAAAATAATGTGGTATTTGGCTGGTGTTGGCTTTTTCTTCAAGGATAAAGGCGCTGGTCCTTCTCATCGTGGGATTTGCTGCCCTGTTTTTGGCATTGTCGCCATCATGCAGCTGGAGATTCTCGACGTATTGAAATCGAGCATTCCCATTTGCTGTCTTTTGTCAACGTCAAACAGCAATGTGATGCAACACGTTGGTAACAGTGTGGTGGTAGTACACATCCGGCAGAATAACGGTAAAACACGTCAGTGACGTTAAAAAAGACCTGACTCACCTCCTTAACACCGTTGAGCTGTAATATTTTGCACCGTCACCAAAGCACCTACCGGTACCGGTACTGGTGTGTTGAGCCGAGGACTTGGATCTGTCTTCCAACTCCACCTTGCTACCCACCAAGAAAATAAAAAAAAATAAGGGGGGTTTTAGAGTAGGGAAATTATCTACGGAAGCCAGCCGGGGCCAGGCTTAAGCAAAGAACAGTCGAAATTCAGGACTAGGTTCTCTGGGATCAGGGGCAAGAAATTGAGGACCATTACGGGGGGCAAAGGGTTTGGCTTTGCGGGATCCACGGAGACATAAATGGGTAGCTTTCACAAGGGCAATGGAGATACGGGTCTGCATGAAGAACATCATTTGAGAGTAGGAAAATTGAGTTTTGGAGGCAGTAGCAGAAGCAAGGCGTTGTAAGAGAGTCTTGGCTTGAGGGGCAAGCATGCCATCCACTGAAACAACAAAGGGGTGGAAGGAAGCGCGATTGGACTCGCACGCATCTTTATATTTGGAAATTTTGTCGCGTTCTTGTTGGGTTAAAACTTGTGATCTCGTGATCTCATGATAAGCTTCCACTGCTCCATTTGGGATGTCCCTGCCTTTTGCATCACAGGTGGCCTACTGTGCCCAGGTTGCCCTGGCTCGCTCAAACAATAATCAAGTCATCATTTAGTTCATTCTACTACAATGCTTGGATAGTGCCACTCGTTGGTCTGGCTATGTGATTCCCGGTCAGCAAAAACCAAGAGAGAAAAGGTCATGCTTTCACTAATGGCTTAGCTACATCTTGACACAAAGTCAATCCTGCAAGTATCAGTAGTCTATGATCCAATCATAGCATGGATTCCAAAATGGCAAGGCACTCTTCAAACTTGCCAAAGCACCATCAAAGTTACCTACCGTATCTTCCACAGAATTCTTGCCACCTCAGGATGATTCCTGATTGTGGCTATACTAAACACTGAAAGAGAGCCAAACAATTATTACAGGTCTATTATTTAAAAAGTAGAAGAAAGTTGATAAACAAACCACAGACTCAAGTTTGCGCCATTTTCATCTTGACAGCTTCAATGATTTTAAGGCAGCCCTTGGTGTTGGGATCGTCAATTCCCCACACTGGCTCCCCAATGACAAGGCACTCTTGAAGTTTCAGCAAGGCTCCAGAATAGTCACCCATGGTATATAAAACACAGCCAATGTTGTGATAGGACTATGCTGTATCAGGATGATTCATTCCCACCACAGACAGTCTAATGCCCAATGCTGACGGTCTAATGGCAAGCAGTTCCTCATACTTTGATAAAGCACCTTCATAGTCACCCATATCATCCAGAACAGCACCTATATTGTTGTAGGTGGTTGCCACTGAGATATGATTCTTGGCCAATGCTGATTCTTCAATCGCAAGAGCTTCCTCATACTTTGACAAAGCACCTTCATAGTCACCCATTTTATTCAGAACAGAACCAATGTTGTGGAAGGTGGTCGCCACATCAGGATGATTCTATCCCAAAATTGACAATTTTATATCAAGATTTTCCATGTACTTTGACAAAGCACATTCATAGTCACCCTTGCCCTGAAGCACAAGCCCAACATTGCGGCAACTGTCTGCTGTTTCTCTTTGATTCTCACCCAACACAGTCTCACAAATTGCCAGAGCAGTCCGGTGGAGTTTCATGGCTGCATCAGCTTCCCCATTGCTCCCAAGGATAACCCCAATTTGGTTGCAAACCAAAAGTCCACATAGTCTTTGTTGTTGGTGTTTTCTCTGGTTTCCACCAGCTGAGTGAGGACACCATGTATCCATCCACGCAACAATTCATTGACTCGATTGTTGAGCACCGAGTAGCTAACATCAGATTCTACTTGGCCCTGACACCTTCGCATTCTCAACTTTTGTGTTGCCAAGTGTCTCATAGAGAGCATTGATGCCTTCTCCATTGTCAATGAAATCCTTCTCTAGAGATTCCTTCTCCTTGGGTGGTATGACAATATAATAGCCACTTTGCACCCATCTGTGGTGTGAGCTGTAGAGATTTCATAAATACACCAGATGCGAGTGATGTACACCGGTGCATTCCAGGGGGTCATCGTGGCCAAGAGATGGTTATTCTTTTTGACTCTTGGGCCAAAGATGGCAAAGAAGTCTACCTTGGCTGGCGTTATCATTCCAGACTTGTCTTTGCTCGTTGTTGTCACGCGGATCGATGGATTCACGAGCCATCAGTGACTGAACCAAAGCAAAAGATCTCACCGTTCCCAAAGATCTCATCGGCTTTTCTCTCATCACAACCATTGAGCACTGATGACAACCCCAAGGCAGGGCGACTGGTAAAGCACTATTAAATAGCTAGTTTCTTTCTCATTCTCTTATTCAAAGTCCTGGTATCCATCATGATTCTACTAGTATGTTGTGATACCACTACTAGTATCAGGTTCCTGTTCTCCGTACTTCTTCTATCATGTTCCCTACTGTTACAAGCATCCCTCGTGCAAAGTCTCGCTTCTTCATCATCTGCTGGTTGTCCTCCTCCCCAACGACTCCAAGAATTACTGCAAGCGGAGATGGATGGTACTCGCAGCGATAAGAACCCAATTTTGCTGCCCTGCTGTTACGATGGTTTGACAGCTCGCATGGTGGCCCGTGCTGGTTTTGAAGCTACTTTCATGGCGGGATTTGGTGTTTCGGCCGTCAATGGGTATCCCGACACCCAGTTGGTCTCGTATGGAGAAATGCAACAATCCGCGCTTCGTGTCGCCGAAGGATTGGCCAGTGCGGCCCTCGAACTTTCTAGCGAACCCATTCCGTGTATTGCCGATGGCGACACGGGCTACGGCAATGCCGTCAATGTCAAACGGACGCTCTGGGGCTATGCCCGGGCCGGCATGGCGGGAATGATGATTGAAGATCAAGTGGCACCCAAACGATGTGGTCATGTGGCAGGAAAATCCACCGTGTCGCGACCAGAAGCCATTCAACGGGTCCGAGCGGCTTGTAATGCCCGCGATGAATACAGCGCTCAATATGGAGCAACAGCAGGTCCCTTGATATTGGCACGGACCGATGCCGCCAGCACGGACAGTTTCCAAGAAGCCATTGATCGATGTTTGGCTTTTTTGGATGCCGGTGCCGACATGACCTTTTTGGAAGCTCCCACTTCCGTGCAGGAAATGCAAGAGTACTGTCGATTGGTACCCGGTCCCAAATTGGCCAACATGTTGGAACAGGGTTCCACACCCATCTTGCCACCGGCACAACTCAAGGAAATGGGATATACCATGGCGGCGTATCCATTGACATTACTGTCGGCATCCGTGCAGGCCATGCAAGAATCACTGGATCGCATCCAACAGGGAACACCCACAGATGATATCATTGCGACGTTTGCACACACCAAGGATGTGGTGGGATTCACGCAATATGCCAAAGAAGAAGACCGGTATAAATAAAGACATGCACTCATAATAGATCATCCACCTATTGTATGTAATAGAGGTGCACCAAGAGGTAGAGGTAATGTTTTGCTCTGTGATGGGGAACATATAATTCTGGCGAAGTGGCCAGCACACAAGGAGTCGAGTCGAGTCGAGTGTAGACGTTGATGATTCGCCATCCCGTAGTCAACGCTCGTAGGTGGCAATGGCCAGCTGTCTGAGGCAGGGCTTTGGCTACCCCTAGCCTACACCATTCGAAGTTGCATCAGAGCTAGCTTCCGATGAAATGGATTGTTTCATTTCACACACACACCAGAAAGGGGCCAGCAAACATTACATGTACCGGTAGAGTTTGATGATCCGCCATAGCGCAGTCAAAGCAAGTACTGGCTGGTAGATGGCAATGTGCAGCTGTCTGAGGCAGGGTTTTACCTACCGTACATACCCCTGCACCATTCGAATTAACTTCAGAAGTACACGAAATGGATGTACCGGTATCTTTCCACACCGAGTCGAGTCGAGTCACCCAAAAATAAAACCCCTCTAGCTAGTCTGACACAGGACGGCAAGCCAGCATTCCAAAAACAGACGCCTCTACAATGGATTAGGAGCTACATTGCTGAAGCGAAGCGTCTGCATCGGATAAAAGACGCTTAGTAAGTATGTATTTTGCTAGCTAGCTGCCGGGATACGAGTAGGTTGCATCACAGGGCGTCGTGCTAGTGCAATGAGACAGAGCTATTACAAGCACATGGAGTATTCCGGAATTGAGTTTTACGGACGAAAAATATCATTTTTTCGGATTTAGATCTACAGAAAATCAATCAAGGGAAGAGTATGGTAGTTACTTTCTCAAACGAAGCAACAATGCCTTGTTTCCCTTGATTTTCTTTTGCAGCTGAATCAATCCAT